CCAACTGATAAGGCTGAAAATTTTTTCACTTGTTATTTACAGTAAGATAAATACATTCACCAACTTTTATTAAAATAAAACCATTTGAACTGGGTGTTCGGATTTATATGTCACTTAGTATATGTCGTATTTTATGTCTTTTATTTGATAGATCAGTAGTGTGCTAGTACCATAATCCAAATGATTTCAAAGTTTGTGAGCAAGAAAACTCTGCCCAAAGTGCACAATAAGGTTAATTGCTAGACAGTTTAACAGGAGAAAAAACATAACAATGAGAGTACGAACCTGATACTGTACGAGCGCGCAGGTTTACTATTGGATACAACTCTATCCCCACCACTAGCTTGATGAATGCAACATTCGTTTCAACTTTACCAACATTTCTGTTTCATTGTAGTTTCTTCTAAAAGGCAAACATCGTATGCTCGTTTCTGCGAGCTATATAACACCTAGAGCTATCACAAATAAGCTAAAAAGCGATTCGTTACATAAAATAAAAACACGTCACTGTACAAGCTTCCAGAAATATGAAATACCATCTGATAAAAATATCACCATAAGAAAATATCACTAAAATGGCAACTGAATGATATACATATATCGAAAGTGGTCAGTATAGCATGGCGTGCGAAATACCGATGCTAAAAAGTGGAAGTGGCTAGCCTACTGACTGTTACATTCTCTCTCATTGGTCTACTTCTCGGATTTGCAATCATTTATTGCGAACATGGACTGTTGGATACACAGGGTGATAACCTGTAGCGTGTTACGTTGTTTTAATCTCGAGGAAGTCAGTGATTCACTGATGAGTTCGGTACAGGGACTGGAGTGGTTGCCAAGATATTCAGGCAATGCACTGAATGAAAGGACAGAAAAGGATTTTCCAGCCCATACAACTACATAAAGAACATTACTAGGTGCATAATGTCTGGATGCAAACATGGGAAAGAATTTATCTTCGGAACAAGATCGAACAGAACGATGCCCAGTGAGGAAATGAAGTCTATACAGGGTGACTTCGAAGTTGAGTCATTTATTTTAACAGTGAGTAGATCTGATCAAAAGAAATGTTTTTTTCCTTTACCATTTTTCTGGTAAAATTAAAGTAACAAAGTTATAGCCCTTTGGAGGTTTGAGTACCACCCTGTCTCAATAATAATATCATGTGCTCGTGTTTGGCAACAACGGATATAATCCGCCTTATCGGTTCATCGCATCGGAAACAAAAAAGCGAAAGAATTTGGAACGATGTTTTTACAATTGTTTTATTCAGTTCAGTTATACATACAGTCAGTGTCGTCAGTCGGTAACGCGTGTGAATAGTGTCTGTTGCGTGGCTCAAACGAAATAAAAAATGGCACATGTTTATGCGGATCGGTTTCCCAATCGAGTACAACCAACCCCTCGTGCCTTTGTTAATGTAGTACAACGGGCTCGTAAATCAGGTGACTTAAGACCTCACAGGGGACCTCACGATCAAATACAGGTCCGTACTGAAATACTTGTCGGGAGGATACTAACAAGGTAAATTTTTATTTTTATTTTTACACACATATTTTGGTTTATCTTCCTTCTACAATCATTATCTGAAAATTAATGAATCATCTTCAAAGTCACCCTGTATAATAACTGGACTTCTTAGGATACAAAGACCTAAAACACAACCAGCTCACGATATGACTGCATGGGGAAGACCTGAACTACGGATGATGTGGTAGAGGAACATCTATGAATGCGAAGCGCTCATTTATGGTCATTTATAAGACCCAGTATTTTTTAGCAAGATACTGTATCAATTTGTCCAGAATTCAATGCTGTAAATCACAAGAGATCTGGAAGCTGCAGTGACATTTGAGACTTTGTTTGGACGATTTTTGCAGAAAAAATCAGGGTGCTTTACGGTTATGTAGAACAATTTGGGTGAACAGTTGGGACGTTTTCTATGAAAATATATACAGGGTGTTTCTGAACTGTGGGATCAAACTTTAGGGGTTATTCAGTGTAACAGTGGAAAACTGCATTACTCGTGCTATCGTATTTGTGAAGTTTGCAAGAATTTAACAAAAATTAACTGTTGCTAATGAAAAACTTTACCATTCAAGAATTGGCGGATATGCATTTGGCATACGGAGCAATGCACGAGCAGCAGCGCGGTTGTATCAAGAACGTTATCATATCATGTACAAAAGGCAAAAATTAAATGCATTAAATTCTATTTAGGCCATTCATCGTCTTTCTAAATTTTAACGCGTCTTAGGGCCGTAGTGACACTTTTCCGGATATTGGTCCCTATACTCAAATGTTTTCTACGGCTACTGGAAGTTTGATCCTTTAGTTCTGGAACATCCTGTATAGCAGGTATTTCTAAGATACTCTTCTTAGATACAGTACTTTGCATAATAATTGAATAAACGTATATTTTTGGCAAGCCATCACTATATGGGACATAAAAAAATTGCAACAGCAGTCCAGACCTAGTAATTTTCTAATACTGTCTTACTAGTTCAGACAGGGCGCTGCTAATCCATCGACTCGAAGGCTCACGAGTTCGAATCTCCGTCTATTTCGAGCCATGCAGGTCGTGCTGGTCTATATACAGGGTGTCCAGTGGGAAAGTGGACATTTGAAATTTGAATTTCGCGACAACCGTATACGCGATGAAGTGGGGAGAGTTTTTGATTGACTCGTTCAGCGTGCGGGCTAAATAGTCACAATGGAACGTTGGACCGGAGCGCAATGTGCTTTTGATACAGAGGCCTACTTCAAGAATGGTGATTCATACGCAGCTGCCCTTCGGAAATTTTGTACACGATACAACATTCGCCGACCAAGAGATGCCCCAAGTAAGAACCTATTGAAAAAGTGGATTAAGAGGTTCCGTGAAACAAGTTCTACTCTTAGTGAACCCATTCCTGGCCCCACACTATATCAACCGAAGAAAATGTGCGTCGAGTAAGTGATTCGGTTATTGCAAATCCTCGGCGTTCTGTACGGAAGCATTCCGCTGCTTTGGGAATCCCTAGGTCAACAATGCATGGCACAATGAAGAAAAAAATGGGTTTTTATCCTTATAAAATCCAATCAGTCCATGCTTCAAAGGAAAGTGATTACGTATCACGGACATCTTGTGCTGAAAGGAGAACGTTGAAGGCAACTGACGAGGCCCATTTTCACTTAGAGGCTTATATGATCAAGTAAAATTGCAAATATTGGACACCAATGAACCCAAAAGAGAAACAACAACATCAACTACACAGTCCAAAGGTGACTGTTTGGTGCGCCATATCCTCTGGCGGTATTATTGGGCCGTATTTCTTTGAAGATGAAAACGGTCATGCATTGACAGTCAATTCCGAGAGATACAAGGACATTATTGACACCCTCTTTGCTCCTACTGTAAGAACAGAACGTCGATTTAATAAAAAACACACGGTTTCAACAGGATGGGTCCACTGCCCATACTTCCAGAGAATCGATAGATA